TCAACATATTACACAGTTAACACAATACATTACCTAGACAAAATATATTATTATATACAGAGTTAAAATACTTGTACTTTGTAGGGACTACAACTACTTAAGTCGTATACGTTTTTGAGCTTTTAAATTGACTTGTATACAATTATAAATAAATAATCATTATCCATCAATTGATTATTTTGTTTATAATAATTATATTAATTATATATCCACTTTGAGTAACAAATTATGTATTGTTTTACAGACCATAATATTATAGAAATGTTAGAACAATATTAAAAACATTAAATTATTACGGTTTTTATAAATCTTTTGAGTACTACAAATACCTAACTATTTATCTTGATTACTTATTACTTATTTATATTTTTGTTTAAAAATAATATAAGTATACATAATAATTAATAATATGTTTTAGACGTTGGTAGCTRGTTAAGTTTTAAAAATTTAAAGTATATGATGTTAGTTCATTCACCCTTTTTATTTATTTCGCCGTCTAACATAGATAACAAAACACCAGTTGTAGCTACAAGAATTGTAAACTTATGTACACATTCCATATGTGGTAATGATGACTCCGAAATTTTTCTAAACGTAGAAGATGAGGCATTTATGCGATTGAGAATTTGACATATTAACTGAAAAGCACAAAACAATGTTTACATTATATTTTGGGAAAAGAATTCGAATATTCTTCACAACCTGAAAGACTCTACCAAGTGATCCTTCTTGATCAGTTATAATATTACGGTCAAAATGAATCATCATTTCAATAATACGTAATAATGTTACAGTGTAAATAAAACTTTTACCACACATTTTCAGCTTGTTCACTTCTTCTGACGAAATTGTAAAAGAATTGTTTTCGTTTATATCTTTTATCTATTAACATCGTAAGAGCAACATGTATATTTCATGTATAAAATAAAACTTACAAATTTAATGTATGAATATAATTATTGATCAACACGATCGTACATACTTCTTGGAATAGACTTATGAACTCGGAAAAAGCCCAGTTTAGATAATTCAAAGAGTTGTTGATAAAATTGGACGCTGTTTCTTTGTCATGAGCTATAACCGTTCGTATGTCATTTTGAAGCACGGTAGCAGGTGGTCTTACTGTCAAGAAAAAAAA